AAAAGAGGTGAAGAGAGGGGTTATCATGGAGTACAGTGTCAACTTGGAAGTAAGGCAAACGCATACCTTCTGATTTAAGTTGACATAAGTAGAGGGATTTTTATCACATTAATAAGTTGTTGATAATTTAAATTTTAAAATCCTCCCCTCCCCTCTCCTCAGACCAAGGGCATGTGTTTGGTTGGAGGGAGAGGATAGGGTTGTTTGATTTGAAAAATTGAAGGAAAGGAGAGAATTTTTTATTTTAAATCTTCCCTATTTTGATTAGGAGGGGAGATGTAAAATTTTCTCTATCCTGATTAATATATTCTCATGATAAGTTCAAAAAATGTAAATACATTTCTCCAATATTTTAACACTAATAAAACTAGGATAAAATTGTCTATATATAATATTTTTCCTCCCATTTCTTTCTAAATCAAATAAGGTAACATTAAACCCCTCTCCTCTCCACCATTAAAACTCCTCTCTCTTTTTCTTGAACTAAACATAGCCTAAGTCTTCATATATATTCTTTATAAAATAGGGAGAAAATTTTTTTATTTATTGCAAGTCACATTATTAAATTTTTATTATAAATTTCTTTTTTTCCCTCTCCAATAAATGTTGAGGAGGGGGAGAGAGAGAGAGAGAGAGAGAGAGAGAGTATTGTTAAAATATGTATATTTAATGGAGATAGAGTTGAGAACTATTAAACTTTTAATTAGGGTTCATTAGCTTTAAAGTTTTTTTTATTTCAGTAAAACATTAAAATTTGAAAGTGACTTATAAATAGGATTAAAAAATTACTATTAAATTAGAATGAGTCTACTATTTGTCTTTAATGGAGAGATAATGTCTACTATCAATTTGCTGGTAAAGGCAAAGAGGGCTGGAAGGGCAATTGCAAAATTCAAAAAATCATTAACACGAAAAAATATATATGAGAATACAAAATTTGCAAAGGGACAGCTGGAAGGGCAGTTCAATATTTTAAAAATAATTATCAGGAAATAAACATGTATGGGAATCCAAAAAATATATATGGAAGGCAGTTAAATTAAATTATTGAATGGGTTGTTTCCTTGCCATGGTTTATATCATTTCGCACCATTCGTATGCTACAGCAATGTCTATTTGTACATATATAGATTCTTTTTATTGAAAAAAATAGTTATTAATATAAGGAGTATATCAGAGTCAATAAATGAAAAAGATCTTAGTTTAAAAGGACCTGAGCATAAACGACTACCAAGTAATAAAATGAGCAGGAGCCGTTTGCAGATGGCTTGAATTTGATTGAACTCGTTGACTGAATTGAGTGAATTCGTTAAAAAGTAATAAATGATGTGAAAGTATTTTTTTTTTCTCCTTACTTATAAATCACATTATTACTTTTTTATCATAAGTTTTCTTTTTATTTTTAATTAATGTTTAGTGAAATAATATACTATTAAAGTGATTATATTTAATAAGAATAAAGTTAAAAACTTATTAAAATTTTAAATCCAATTAATGAATTTTAATATTATTTTTAGTTTCAATAAAATATATTAAAAATAACTTATAAATATAATTAGAAGGAGTATTTACTATAATAACTAAAACAAAACATTTGTAAATATTTAAAACAAAATTCTGATGAAACTCAAATACGTGTACCAATATATACAGTATCGTATAAGCTGACCATTTCGATGAAAGTGAGACGCTGCCCCTTTAGATTTTAGTTGATATGCTTTATAAATGACTTCTCGCAAATTTATTTTTTTAAAATTAAAGATATAAATTTGAAAAAAAAAAACAAAATCATTTAACATAACATTAAATCTATATACTTGAGTAATCATTACATTATAATTATTTTAATTTTCTCTCCACTTAAAGATTAATATTAAAAAGGTATCATCAATGAAATCTTATTATTATCAAATTATTTTATATTTTGAAACAATCAAGTACTTCAAATTTATTTTATAATTTAAGATGGAGGGAGCTTTTTTTTTTTTTTTTTAAGAAAAAGACATCTAATGTAAGTTTAGTTGGATGGCAGGTCCAAGACCACAAGAGACCTTCATTTTCTCTGGTATCTTGGAACTTACGCACAAACAATGGGATGCTTCCGCTGCCATATAAGCTTTTTCTCTTCTATGATCATTTCTATGGATCAGCTAACGTTTTTGGCAACATTTTATCTATCCATATTAGGTAACTATGAACATAAATGGAAATTGTGATCATATTCTAGTTAACAATAATGAGGTTTGATGCAGATATATATCTGGGGATTCTATTTGTAGGTGTAATCTCAAGAAAACTCACAATAGTTAACAATTGCAACTACACTGTGTGGCCTGCCCTTCTCCCTTCAAGTGGTAGCCTTCAATTTTCATCCACGGGTTTTGTGCTTGAAATGGGTGGGTCTAGGACCTTCTCTACACACGCAGATGCAATGTCTTTCCGCATTGGGGTCGAACTCAATGTATCGAAGACTCTAGTGGAAACTTTTCCTGTGCCACTGGTGACTGTGATTCTGGGAAGCTCGAATGCGAAGGAAGTGGAGCCACGCCACCTACAACATTGGCAGAATTCACGTTAGGCGGATTTGATGGGCTTGATTTCTATGATGTGAGCTTAGTAACGGATACAATGTGCCCATGATGGTTGTTCCTCAAGGTGGTTGCGGAGGCTGCAGTAGCACAGGTTGTCCGACAGATTTGAATAGTTTGTGCCCTTCAAATCTCAAGGTAATGAGCAAGAATGGAAAAGAAGTGATGGCATGCATGAGCGCTTGCGAGGCATTTGGTTCACCGAAATACTGCTGCAGTGGCCCGTATGGAAGTCCAAGCAATTGCAAGCCATCCCCTTACTCACAAATATTCAAGACAGCTTGCCCACGTGCCTACAGCTACGCATACGATGACGCGACAAGCACATTCACATGTGTAGCTGCAGATTATACCATCACCTTCTGTCCATCTCAAAATACAATATCGGATCCACCAATCTCTTCCTCATCATGTGAAGAAATCATCACTTCATCTCATTTCATCAAGGACCCCAAAACAATTAGATCCAATGGGAGTTTGTTCACACTAGGGTTCTTTAGTCCTGAAAATTCTACAAATCGCTATGTCGGAATTTGGTACATGTCAAATTCTACTATTGTATGGGTAGCCAATAGAAATCAACCACTAAATGATTCTTCAGGTACTATGACCATATAGAAGATGGCAATCTTGTGGTACTAAATGGACAGAAGCAAATCATTTGGTCAACAAATGTGTCAGATATTGCATCTACTACAACTACTTGCCGACTTTTAGATACTGGAAACCTTGTCCTAATTGAAATTGAAAACAAGGAACAAAGAGTCATATGGCAAAGCTTTGATCATCCTTCGGATACATTGCTACCAGGCATGGCAATAACCAGAAACAAAAAAACCGGGGAGAAAGAGAAGTTAACTGCATGGAAAAGTCAGTCTGATCCATCCCTTGGGAACTTCTATGCGAGTCTTGAACTTCTAAATTTCATAGAATTGTTTATATGGAATGCAACTAGCCCCTACTGGCGTAGTGGTCCATCGAATGGTCGAGGCTTTACACAGGTGCCCATGATGAATTTCGAGTATAGTAATGGTGCCAATCAACTATCTGAGCAGGATGAAACTTTACGTTTTACTTTCCATTCACAAAATGGTTCTCACATAAAAGAAATGGTTGTTTTGAATTCAAAAGGCAAGTTATTGCATAAACAATGGGATGATACCAAGAAGCAGTGGCAAGAAACCTATCTTATTCAAAACTCAGACTGCGATGTTTACAACAAATGTGGAGCATTCGGAATCTGCAATCCAAAAAGTGCGCTAATCTGTAGTTGTATGAGTGGTTTTGAACCAAGCAATAACAAGGAATGGAATAGACAAAAATGGAATGACGGTTGTGTTAGGAAATCAATGCTGCAATGTGAGAGAGAAAAGAAAGGGAGTGCAAAAGGAAAAGAAGATAGGTTTTTCCATCTGCAAAAGGTTAAAACACCAAACTTTGGCGCATCGTCATCTGATTCAGAAGACAAATGCAAAAGCCAGTGCTTGGAAAATTGTAACTGTACAGCATATTCTTATGATTCAGTCCTTGGTTGTATGTCTTGGAAAGGAAATCTAATTGACACACAACAACTCACAATTGGAGGAGTTGACCTATACATTCGTGCAGCCTATTCAGACCTTGGTATCTAAATTACTTTCTTAGAATCCTTGGAATTTAGTTCATTTAACATAATCTTACTTCTTGGTTTGGAATGAATTCTTTAACTTCTTTTTTTCCTGATCACAGGTAAGAAGAGACATCTGACATTCACCATTATCATTATTGCAATAATAGGAACTACCAGTATTGGTGTCACTTGTGCATACTTCTTATGGAAATCGAACGCTAAACATTCAGGTACTACTCCTTTTTATGTCATCCTAATAATGTCAATTCTCACCACATATATTAGCTTTAAAATGGCATATGCATTAGCAATTTAAATATTGAACGCATTTTCATAAGCAATATTCATATGCGTAGATATCTTTTGGACAATTATGCATGTTTATACATTTTCAAGTGGAATATCCATCTCCTTCTCTTTCTAATCAATACATTGATATGATCAGCAAGAAAATGGAACTGTAAATGGTTCGTTTTATTAAAAAGGCGTGAAGCAAATATCACAAAAAACAAGTAACAACATTATGGGAAAATTGTCGCAAGTTCAATTCCAGGAGTTATTGGTCTATGACTTTGGAAAGGTTGCAATTGCTACAAACAACTTTCAATTGTCGAATAAACTTGGACAAGGTGGTTTTGGTCCAGTCTATAAGGTACATTCTTTCATGAATTCTTGATCGATTTAATTTGAACCCCTTGTGTATAATAATTGTTTCATGGAAATTTCTTCAAGGGAACACTAGAAGATGGTCAGGATATAGCAGTTAAGAGACTGTCCAAAGCATCCGGGCAAGGACAAGATGAATTTATGAATGAGATAGTTGTCATTTCCAAGCTTCAACACCGCAATCTTGTAAAACTTTTAGGATGTTGTACTGAAGAGAAGAAAAAAAGTTTGATCTATGAATACATGCCAAATAAAAGTTTGGATGCATTTATTTTCGGTTGGTGTTTTTGATCCCTTAAGTTCTTTAGTTCTTTCTATTCATGCACGCGAGCATAATTAAGGGGGCAAAAGGAAAAAACAAAATATTTTGTTCATAGGAGTGTTTCTTAAAGATATTTAGATCGAGCTCTTTATGGCATGGACAAAATTAATATAACCCTCCCCTTTGCTGTTGTAGATCCACAAAAACGTAAACTTCTACATTGGGGGAAGCGCTTTGTCATAATTGAAGGAGTAGCAAGAGGAGTACTTTATCTTCATAGAGATTCTAGACTAAAAATTATACATAGAGACTAAAGGCAAGTAACATCTTGCTAGATGAGAACTTAATTCCCAAAATATCAGATTTTGGTATGGCTAGAATTTTCAAAGGAAGTGAAGATCAAGCGAACACAAGAAAAGTTGTTGGAACCTAGTAAGTTGCCCTTCCCTATCCAATATTATAGTAGTGTGCCAAGTAGTGAGTACTCTAATAATTGGTTGTTTGATTCAATAATGCAGTGGCTATATGTCTCCAGAATATGCAATGGAAGGATTATTTTCAGAAAAATCAGATGTGTTTAGTTTTGGAATTTTATTATTAGAGATTATTAGTGGAAGAAGAAAACTCAAGCTTTTATACACAAGCACTCTCTGAGCCTTTTAGGATTTGTAAGTCTACAATTCATTAGCTGCCTAAATACCTAATTATCAAATATATTATTAAATGTCAATTTAACTCTTAGCTCTCAAGCTTCCAAAGCTAATAATTATATATGTTTTTTTTTTGGTGCTTTAGGCATGGAAATTATGGAATGAAGGAAACATTGTACAGCTAATAGATCCAGAAATATTTAATCAAAACCCAGCGAAGGATATATTGAGGTGCATACAAATAGGACTTCTATGTGTACAAGATCTTGCAATAGAGAGGCCGAGTATGAGCACAGTAGTTTCCATGCTTAATAGTGAGATTGTCCATCTTCCTCCTCCAAGGCAACCTGCATTCACCCAATGGCAAAGTACATTGAATCAATTGACTCCAGAAGAAAATCAAAGAATATTTTCCAACAATGAAGTCAGTATTAGTGATATGGAGGGCAGATAGCGAGGTCACAAATCTATCACTAAAATAGTGTTGTTTTGATGAGTAACTTCATTTGCGCAGTTGTTGTATTCTTGGTGGTATGAAGTATCCAATACTGTATATGAGCTTTCTCTATTTTTGTTTGTTTTTAATGTAATGGCTGTTTTTGGATATGGATTCTTTTTGAAATCAAGGTATGAATTGTAATATTTATCAATCTTAAAACAATTCAAGCTTTACTCCATAGTTTCTCGGGCATTATCTCAACGATGAACAAGAACTGGTCCCTTGCAGCCAGTCACACAATTAGGTGATAAGTGTCCACTTCTTTTTATAAAAGGCTATTGCATAAAATCACTTATAAAAACCCCTACTAAAATTAATGATTTTCAAACTAAAATAAGCAAGGGATTCGATGCACATGCACCATAACATTTGGGAATGCATTCCCTCTAGTCACAATGACTGCAAGGTCAGTCACATTTGGCAATTGCATATGCACCATAACATTTGTTTGATTATAGTCCTCCCATGATAAAAAATGATATGGTTAAATAAATATTCTGACTAGATTTACTGGAAGTATCCTTTTAGTACCTTTAATGGACCATAAAAAGTATTAAAAATAAAAGCTAATAGTTCTGTAATCAATACAAAACACAAACTTTAACATATTTTGTAAAATTTCAGGGCCAATGAAAAGTATTATTATACAGTGCCTAAAGCATCAGATCCCATGCATATCCAAAAGTAGCTAGATCCAGTTAAGAGGTAGAAGTAATAATTTATTTTTTGAACCTATAGGATAAATTGATAGGCAGGAAATTACACAACAGAGAAACTTAGGTGTTCACCTGCAGTTGATTTTTCAAGAGATGTCAAGCAGCTATAATTAATCTGTGAGCTACAGAAAACATTTCTACACTTAAATATGGAAGAGTTTCAAAATGCTGGGTGAAGCAAGAAAATTACAAAACCATTTTTGACCTCTTATATAATAAGTCAACCCCAGGTAAATGATAACTTAGATTATTTTAGACCCAAAATAAATCAAAACTCGCACTGCATTATGGAAACTACCATTTCCAGAATATATGACACTAAAACACTGGTTATGTGGTATTATTTTATCACGTTTGATATTCAAACCACCTTCTATCAACTCTCTCCCTGTCGGCCACTCCTTCTGTAATAATTGTGACAAATTTGGAGCCACAATGGCTAACAAAATAGAAAGCAGCACCAATATTGTATTTCAGGCCCATTCAAATTAACAATACTACATCACCTGCCTTAAACAAAAATATATTCAACCATTATTGTATATTAGTCACTAAAACCTTAAGAAAATTTCGAGCTCTATGACCAAACATTGTCAAAAACACCTCAGAATTGTTTCCATTTTCTGTAACGCAACGCTCTGTTTCATGGAAAAGGGGCGTACCTTTAAATGTTGGAATATTATCAAGAACTCCAAACTTCCAGCAGAAAAAGCCGATGCTAGAGAAGTCGCGAAACTTTGCTGGATAGCGAGAAAAACTGAACATGTGAAAACAAAAACCATTGAAATTAAGGGCAGAAACAACTTGAGACGAAACCATGGCATGTAGCTCGTACAGTAATATTGGGGAATCCTTGTCAATTTGGCAGGATCTTTACCACGTTAATTAAGGCTTAAGAAGCATTGGAAACGTATTCAAAAAGAATTCAAAAGCTTCATTAACAAAACGTGAAAGCAGAAAGAATTTGAATAATTATTCCCATGAAAATAAATTTGGTAACCCAAGAAAGAACCTATTGCTTAAATTAGGAAACTTTTACATCCTCAGTAGAATTACTTTCGATTACATCACATGAGTTCAGGGCTTGGCGAGACTTGCAGACACACAGCAAGGCCATGTTTGATAGGTTGGAATCAAGAAAATAGAAAGAGAAATGGAAATGGAATCCATGATCATGCTCGTTTGGTATGTTGCATTCATTCTTCTACAGAATTCTGATTCAGTCAAAATTGACAGAATCGGATTCCATCACATACATCATAGAATCCGATTCCAACGCCCCTTCTCTCCATTTTACCCCCTTGCTCCATTTGACCCCCGCTTCTCTCCCTAACCCTTCTAGCCAACACAAAGGCTGGTTGATGATTGCAACAGGACCCTTTTCAATAGTGACGAACGATGACATTGAAAGCACCCCCTTCCTCCGATCTCCACTAGTCTCCCCCAGCCACCATTGTTTTAGTATTCATCACTGAAGGAAGCATAGATGAATGGCCTCGAGGATGTCGACCATTGCTTCCCAGCTCAGTGGTGTCATGGCTACTTGGGTTTTGATTATCAACTTCACGCCCTTTGGACTCTCGTCGTCATCGATGTTCTGGTTCGGTGAAGTTGGTTTTCGTTGTTGCTATTGATGCTATGCGTTGGTGTTGTGTTGTTATTGGTATTTTTTAGGAATTCTTACTCTCATATCGCCAAGCTTCAATATACTTGCAAGCTTCAGTACACTTCCAGAAAGAAAGAAGAAGAAAGCACTGTAGTACCGAGTTGTGATCCCTGAGTTGTGATTTTCTTTTTTATTTTTAAAGCTAGGGCATTTTGATATTTTTTTTATTTAAAATATATATATAATTATTAAAATTAGATTGATATTCCATCTTCATGTCAAATAAATTTTTATAATCAATTCTATTTTAATTTTAATTTTAATTTTAATTTTGATTCCATCAAAATTTTTTATTATATCAAATGAGGCTCAAGATAATGTGGCTTATACGATCAAACGAAGCAAGAGATTTTCCAGAGAAGATTGCCCAAATACCCACACCAAACTGAAGCGGATTCAAGCAATTTCTAATCAACGCATGAGGATAATCAGGCATTAAAGGTCTGAAGATCTGGGTCGGGTTAGTTGCTTCGGTGGAGGGCTTAAAGGTCTAATCTGAACATCGTGTGGGAAGCATGTAAAGCGAGATGATTGTCGGTTAATTTTATAAATCTACCTGTTTTCTTTTAAAATTCAAGAAGCACTAAATAACAAGTTTTATCATGTTTGTATTTTAATAATAATTTATTTTATATTATTTTTATTTGAAAATAAGTTATTGAGTGTTCTTTGAATATGATTCTTCCTAAATTCATTGGAAAATGACAATTAAAAACTTTGTAAAGATATTAATATAAATAAAGATCTCAAAATATTGAAATATCATAAAAGAATTATGATCTTCATTTATAATGAAATATTTTTAATTATTAAAATAATCAATAGGAGGTGACTCATAAAGTCAAGGAAAGTGGTAAATTTAAGGAAGAGCATTTATAAATATACAAGAAGTTAATTGTAAATGGATCAATAATTTATGAAGGACAAGACTACTCCCTTTATTTAAAAATGTAAAGTATTTTAATTGGATATCATTCCCAATAAAATAATTATCTACTTTTAAACTAATCATATTTTCATATTTATTTTATTAAATATCCTACAATAAATATAAAGTTATTATTAATAGGGACACTTAAAAAAAAAGATAATGATTATATCTTAAAAAACTAAAAGTGCCTTACATTTTTAAACATTCAACTCCTCAAAAAATGTCTATATTTTTTTAACAGAAGGAGTAAGTATTAGCCTTATATATTTAATATACTCTTAATAAAGATATGTATATTTTAATGTGTTAATAATATTAATTATAAGAGTTTGTTATAGAATAAATAATATATAAAAATACACTTGCTTGATTTAATTAAAAATAAATATCCAAAATATATAAGGTTAAATATTAAAATTTTTTCCTTTCATGAATATATAAATCATCACTTTTGAATTTAAAGAGAATTTATCAATTTTTGAAAGATAGCTTGTAAAATTATAAAATATTAGTTGTAAATAGATATTAAAAAATATGATAGGGTTACAATCTCTAAATTATTGATTTACAATTAAAATTGAAATTATTTATACTTTCATGACCTACATTACATACATTCACAACTAACATTCCTTAAATTCATAACTAATTATCTATAAATTATAAATAATATATTATTCGTAAAACTATATTTTATTCATAATTGAAGTTTTATAAATTTATTATTGATCTTACTAAAATTTACAAGTTATTTTCCTTAAATTCACAAGTAACAACATTAAATTCATTAAACTATGCATCCATCAACAATTGATTTTTCATATATACATAAGCCATCTTTTTATGCACGACTATCTTTCTTTAAATTTATGATATTTTATTGTTATTTCAATAATTAAAAATATAATATTATAAATAAAAGACCACAGTCATTTTGTGGCATTTTAAATTTTAAGGTCTTTAATTGTTATTAGTGTCATTATAAGATTCTTAATTGTTATTTTTCCAAAAATCTTTCATTAAGAAGAACACATGACAAATATTGGACTAGTCAAATTTTTATAAAATCTTATAACATAAACAATAATAATAAACCTTATCCCACTAATATGATAGGTTATATAGATTGTATGATATTATTATACTCTATTATTAATCAAGTTTTTAAAATATTAGACAAAGAGGAAATGAAAAATGGATGAAGGCTTCTATTTATATCTCACGTACTCCCTTAATTAAAAATATAAAGAATGTTTAATTAAATTTTACTATAGTAATTAGTTAATTGTCTTTAAATTAACATTATTTTTTATATTTATCCTCATTTAATAAAGTATTTAACTCAAAAAAATGTAAAATAATTTATATTTAGGAGGAGCATGTCCTTACTTATTATTGCAAGTGCTCAATGCTTTTCAAAAAAAAAAAATATGAGAAAAAAAATAGTTTTGACCCCTTGATAAACTACTTTGAATACCTTCTTAAATAAATCTGTTATTGTAGTTGAAAGATAGAATGCCATAAAAAATACAAGATACACAAATAGTATAAAATGACTAAATGACTAAATGATATGATAAATTATTTTTTAAAAATAAAAATCCCCAAAAATATCATAAAATATAAGAATGAGTAAATAATTTTTATTATTATAACTAAACATAAAATAATTTATGTTTTCATAAAAAATTTTAATTATTTAAATATTACTTATTTTTTAATTTTAAATGAACCGGCACTGCTTAAATTATGTATAGTTAGACACATCTCTGGACATGGTAATGATGTCACCTAGATGACTTTTTTTTTTGGGGGGGGGGGGGGGGGGGAGGGATGTT